AATAATAATAATAATAGCAGTAATAATGATAATAGTAATAATAATAATAATATCAATACCAATAAGAGCAATAAAATAGTAAATAAATAGATTAAGTTAATTGCAATATGCTACCAGCATCTAATGAGAAGAAAGGAAGTGGAAAAAAATTATTTCAATTTTAATCAAAAAATTTGTCAAAAAGTACATGTACATGTAGCTACAATTATTCTACAGCTTTGTATCTTTTGTGGCCTCAAATTTTGGCGATTTGACATATGGAATTTCATTAAAAAGATCATCATTAAAATTTTCGTGAATCAGCCAAGACATGAAATTATTAACATTATAGCTAGATGTGATTTCGGATATGGGTATTTAAAATCAAGAAAAATTAGAAAAATTGACCAAAAAATTGGATCACACATGTACATCCATACATACTAACACAACTTGCTACAAAACATGTACTCTCCCTCTCTCTCTTACTTGCTATATCCAGTTTATATTCAGTATCTTCTTGAGTATTTTCAAATTGTTGCAGCTGCTGAGCTGAAGGGGTAGAGGGAGAGAGAGAGGTCCTTGTGTTGTTGTTGATGTCTTCATAATTTCCGGAGTAGTAGCGAACATCTCTGTCTCTATCTTCTTTTAGTTTTGATATGATTGAACTGATGTCTTGAGAAAAGGATTGATTGGCAGAGATAAATTCTATGAGAGAGAGAGAGAGAGAGAATTACTTGACACAGAATTAAAATAGACAATTACACATGCACGCTTGAACTGATTCTGATTAAAATTGAATTTTTAAAGTTACTCAAAATTGGGTCAAAGTCCCTGTACTATAGGGTCGTGGGATAAATTTTGCCAAATTAAAACAAAAAGGAGAGATTTCTCCATTTTTATAATTTTTCCTGATGCATATACATGTTCTTATGTTGCGTAGAAAGTTTGAGCTGATTCCAATCAAATTTGGATTTTTTTACGAATTTTTAAAGTTACTCTAAAATCGGGTTAAAGTCCCCATATTTCACCAAAAATGAAAAGGTGAGATTTATCCACTTTTATAACTTTTCCTGATGCATATACATGTTCTTATGTTGCATAGAAAGTTTGAGCTGATTCAAATCAAATTTGAATTTTTTACGAATTTTTAAAGTTACTCCAAAATCAGGTTAAAGTCCCTGTACTATAGTACAGGGTCACAAGCCAAATTTTGCCAAAAATGAAAAGGAGAGATTTCTCTACTTTTATAATTTTTCCTAATACATATACATGTTCTTATGTTGTGTAGAAAGTTTGAGTCAATTCCGGCTAAAAATGGATTTTTTATGAATTTTTAAAGTTACTCAAAAATCAAGAAAAAGTGAAATTCCCCAGAAACTTAAAAGGAGCTTCATATACACACTATACTACAATTATGCACTAATACACTACCATACTACACTAATGACATATACTCCAATACTTACGTGTATTGTCTAGTGTAGAGTAGAGGGTCCTAGCCACAGCTAGTCTGACATTAGGTACCACATCATTTGATAGTGTCAGTAATGAGGGGAGGCACTCACTGCCAAATAAGGAATAGGATATCAGTCTTTTATGAAAGAACAGCTCACACTGTTTCACATACCTAAATATAATAAATAAATAAATAAGTAAATGAATAAATAAATAAATGAATAAATAAATGAATAAATAAATGAAGTATTTATTACTATTATGTAAAATAGGAGGTTTTTTGATAATGTTATTTTTCTGACATTGGCCAATTTTAACAAATAGCCGTAACTTGAAAAATTGAAGTCGGAATCAGCTCAAACTTTCAACACAGCATAAGGACATCAATATGTAAAATTGAGGTTGATTACTGAAACTACAATATAAGTACATTAATGGACACACACTCACAGTATGTATGTACAGTATGTACGTGTATCAGGAAATGTAATATCAATTTGGATGTATTTTTGAAATCAAAGCTACAATCATGATTTATTGTAAATAGTATAAATTGACCACACAAAATAACGAAACACATCAAAGAAGAGTCATCAAATGAATAATTAATCCAGTGAAATGTGTGGGACTGCTATATACTGATGACATCTGATACAACTTGAACTTCCTCTGGGAAAATTAGTAACTATTTCATGTCATTTGTAACCATGTTCCTGTACATGTGTATACTAGTATATACAGTATGTACTGGGGGAATAATGGAGGGAATTAACTTTGGGGTTTTGGTATCATAACTATAAATTTGCTACTTTTCATTCAATATACATATGTACTGATACTGACAACAATATAAGTGGGTTCTTTCGAGGGTTGCAAATTTTGCAGATTCCTTCCTGATTTATGAAAATAAAATCCGCAAAAACCAATTTAATATGGTACTACATAGCACGTGGTAGAATTCATAAAATTAAAATCAGCAGATTAGAATTTTAGTAAATTTTATGAAATCAGCAATATACATTTGCTACTCCCTCCCAATACACTGATAATATGTACATTTATATTAACAATAGCATAAGTACATGTACCTTGTATTGTGCTCATAACACATTGTTTGTTAGTTTATTTAATGTACAGTAGGTGGGGCATAGGAATATCTACTGATGATGGACCCACGATGCTATCATACAATAAATGAGCTATTTAACGCAACCCAATGAACTGGGAAAGGTTATAGGTCTTGATATTTGTCTTCTGTAGACTTGTCAAAATTTTTGGAAGGACTGCATTCGTGTGGTCCCAATATTTGAAAATTAACATACATACAACTACACATACAAGGGTTCTGGTTCACATACAAATTCTAAAAGTGGGGGAGGGGCTCATTTTGGAAACCTTGCATGCATAACTTTGATAAAGAAATTAATATGTTAATCAGTTATGCTAATTGGTTAAATTTCGGCAAAAATAGCTCCAAAATTTTTTTATTTTTACATATACATGTACTTATGTTGTGTAGAAAGTTTGAGCTGATTCCGATCAAAATTGGTTTTTTAATAAATTTACAATACTGCAATATCTAGTCATGTGACTTACATTAATCTGAGTAGCCATCTCTCACTGGTAGCAAATGATGTTCTTAATTGAGTCAATATCAATGAACATGTGGTTGGACTGGACTGACTGAACTTGTGTAATAATGAACCAATCTAGAGGAGGAGGAGAGAGAGGGAGAGGGAGAGGGAGAGAGAGGGGGGGGGGAGAGATGAAAGACGGTTAAAGGAAGTAAAAGATTAGGTACATAATATAAACAAAGATATACAGTACATGTACATGTAGTTTAATAGTAAATAGAATTAAATAATAAAAATACCTTCAGAATAATGGCTACAATATATTATTAACAATCATTAATGTACATGTACATAGTAATGCAAAATCACCAAAATTAATTTTAAAAATACATGTAGCAGCAAAATAGCCAAAATAAAGTGTTGTCAAATTAAAGACACTATCATACGGTAATTTTTACATGTACATGTATAACCATTAACTTCCATACTTCTGTGTATGTACATGTACATGAATAATACAAAAATAAATAAAATAAATAAAATAATGATAATAAGAGTAACCAATAGAGGGATGGATGCACTAACCAGTCTGGAGGCGGAGTCTCTTATCTGAGCTACTTTATCATGTCCCAGTCTAATAGCCACTGGCACTATGAACTGCTCAACAAATGAACAATCAAATAATTCACTTAATAACATCAACTGTCTGTAGAGGAGGGGGAGAGAGAGAGAGGGAGGGGAAAGAGAGGTAAAATGAAGAGACATGTAAAGCATTGATTGTGCACTATGGCAGGAAATACATATATAAACCTGTCACAGTGTCATATCATTTATGATATAATTATAAATAACAAATGCTTTAACATAAAAGCACTTGATTCATTAAGTTAATGTGGCCATTAATTGGATATACAGCTGTCAATGAGCCTTAGGCCTTTTCACACGTTCTCACTAGTAGCTGAATCATGTATCAATTTGCGCCATTGTTGCTGTTTACATTGATCTCACTGCATACCGTACTAACGGGTTATTAAGCGTAGGCGCTTATGCAGAAAATGACAAAAAATGGGCACTTAATAATGACTCAGTGCTTATTAAATACAGTAGGTGTGGTTTACAATAATAATTAATTAATCACTTTACTGGCTTTACAATGGCGGGTGGTAAAGAATACTCTTTCATTGTCTTTTGACAGTCTGGCTAATAAGAACTAGGCGCTTAACAACAAAGGACGCTTAATAACCCGTTAGTACGGTAATTTCCCAAAAATGTGACGACTGGTAAAGTGAGAGTGATGGGCATTAATGAGCATTACTTTTGCCAGTGTGAAAAGGTCTTTAAAGTGATTCAGCAGATATGAAGTGCTATTGAATAACTGTTAGTGTGAAATAATATTACTAGGAACTGCTTCACACATCAACACTGTTAGATGGTAAATAATAATAAACAAATAAATAGTTATTAATTAATTGATGTGGTTTAATGATAGTATCTAGCTATTAAAAAGAGCAGACAAATAATATTTTGCTTGGGCAGTTTTTGATCATCTTTGACAGAATGGGGGATTATTATAAATCTGAAGCAAAGTTTGGCTGTTAATGCAGGACTGCTGATCAATAAAGAGCCATTAAAAGAATGTGTTTCTGTATCTATTGGTGTGGCTACTACAGAACCTTGACTTTTGTATACATATAGTGATGATACATCCATTGGACTGGAATGAAGCAACATGATTTGAATGGAAGGTAGCAAACAGCATTACATAAAATAGAGGAAGAGAAGGACAGTAAATAAGAGCAGTCAAGTTCTACTGTAAATTGTATATATATTGTATTGAATATTATCACAATTACCGTATTATACTGGTTTATTTTTGCAAATTTGTGTTTGTTGTTCAATTGCTAAAAGAATAATCTCTTCTCTTTTAGTCAATGCATTGAGTATTTGCTCTCTATTGAGAGACATCAATTATCTTGTAATTATTATTCTACCATGCCAAATTTTAATTGACCAATCAGATTGCAGAATACCAGATTTTGTGTCGCTTGGTTAAAAAATGTCATAGAAACCGATACAACCAACTTCTACCGTGATAATAATTATTTAAAAAAAACAACTACCAGCTGCTGATAATAAGACCACAGTTGACATACATACAACATATCTAACAGGCTAGGCCAGTAAAGAATCTAGCAAGCTTGACAAATGGACTAATAAAGGCATAACACAGTGCCAAGCGTTGAGTATCCCCTGGAGGTTTGCAATAGATTTAGAAACCTGGTATTCTGCAATCTGATTGGTCAATTAAATTTTGGCATGGTAATAATAATTACAAGATGATAGATGTCTCTCAACAATGGAGAGCAAGTATTGGACTGTGGAACTACTGTCAAGCTACCTCCAGTATACCAGCTATTGGCCGCCACTCTCACTCATTCAAAGCTGCAGTAGACAGCAAGTCAGGCAGTACTACATCAGGAGAGAAGACATCTAAACTGACAGCAGCTGTGTTTCTTACTATTGCTTTCCTCCTCCTCCTCTTTCACTCTCTCTCTTTATTAAGACACATCTTGATGATTCCTCCAACAAGTAAACAACAATTGCAACTTTGTACTTGTATATTTACTGGTATTTTATTATTAGGTAACTGCTACAAAATACAATGTACTACTGGTGTTACTGTTACTGATACGAATTACCTCCAGTCAGTAGTCTTACCTGGAGGCAGCAGTTCTAACCTGATTTACAATGATCTCTATTTGATTGTTTGTCTACGTATGCTCCTCCTCTTATCAGGAGATGTTGAACTCAATCCTGGTCCTATGATTGATGATCAACCTGATATTTTCCTATTACTTCAATGGCTTGAACCACTTGTTGACTGGCAACCATTTGGTATTCTCTTACCTGGAATAACACAATGGACTATTAAAGCAATTGAACAGCTAGAAGCTAAGCATCAAAAACTAGCTTTATTTACAAAATGGCTGAATACAGATCCTACAGCAACATGGAGAGATGTACTCAATGCATTGACTGAAAGAGAAGAGATCAATAAGTATTTATTACAAACTATTAATGATCAGTTACAAGTACATCAATGTACAGGAGGTATGATCATGTCTTCATTCTATATTGATAATTATATTAAATGTATAATAGGTAATACTGATGCTCCTACTAGTACTGTACCAGTAGTATCTACTGTATCATCATCAGTTTCTGTAATTAATAAACCTGTTACTAGTACTACATCAGGTAAACATACACTTAATACAACACTCATTAACTGATACACTACTGCAGGTAATCCAAAGGATATATTAAGAACTCATTCTGATACATTAGTTCATGCCATTAGTGTGAATCTATACAATGTAACTGATGCACTGTATGCTAAAGAACTGATACCACAACAAACTAAAGAGGAGATGCATGTATTAGGAGTAACTAATAATGAGAAATCTAGTAAACTTGTGAATGTCATTGAGCAACAGTTGGAATCCTCTCTTAATCCAAAGCAGTATCTTATTGATATATGTCATGTGTTAAAAAACCAACAACATCGTACACTAACAGATATTGCTACCTCTATATTACACCAGTTAGGTGAGTGTGTGTGTGTGTACATTATCAGTGATCAATATAGTGTCATTATATCTCAATACATTAGGTCAGTCTATACCTGATAATGTCAGTTCACATACTGTACTACCATCACCAGTTAATGATATATCCAATACACCAGTTACTAATATAAGAGGTAATAAATTATTTAATGTGTATACATTGTTTTTTGTATCTTGATCAATTTTGAATGAATGTTAATGTATCAGATAAAACATACAGAAGGAAATAATTCAACAATTCAAATAATGTAATGCTCCTTTGTAGTTAGAGTGTAATCCTTTGTAATCTAGAGTGTGTATGTGTGTGTAGCATATTATAGCCAAGGAATACTATGTACTCTTGATACTGTATACCGGGCTATTTTCGTAGTGAAAATTTTTTTTAAAGATTTCACAGAATAAACTTTCATGAATAGCTTGCATACTGCACCACATGGCAATTTAATTTTTGGGACGAAGCAAAAACGAGAAATTTGCAAAAATATTTTAACACAAAAATAAACCGGTATACAGTATTATCTCAATACATTAGATCCTTCAGTACCTAATGATAGTAATGGAGCTGCTGTGAGTGCTACACAAAGAGAGGAAATAATGTTTAACACACAAGAAGATGAAGAACAAGTTTCACATTCACTGATAGAACTTCACAAGGCATTCGCTAGTTTAATGATGGAGGTACAAACAGCATTTGATGAGAGAGTAGCCTCAAATCCTAAGGTACTCATTAATCTAACAAGATGGATTGAGGCATACATGAACTGGAGTGATAAGCTAACAAATGCATCATTAAATGGAACCTTCGAAATTATTCATCCGTTTTATGATTTTATTGATTGCAGTCTGATAGTGGACATGAGTGAAGTCTTTCTGCAGGATTTTAAAAATATTGTGAGTGAATTACAAAATTACAAGAAAAAAGCTGATAAACTTCGATCTTCAGCTCAAGTAAAACATCTTCATGACTCATTACAAACAATATTTGAAGGACATATACCAGATACATCAAATATGCCAGTAATTTTAGTGAAGCTTCGTAATCCATGGGGTGGAAACAACATCAAAGGACTCTCTCTACTGATCCACAACTTACTTCCAGTTGGACACCAGCAGTCAATAATGAAATATATTACAATCCTTTCTGGATCTGTTATTGTCAAATATTCTGTATATGGCTCTTCAGCTGATAGTCTAATAGAATATACTGGAGGAAAGGAACAGTTTATGCGTCTCATTGGTATATTTAGTTTATACATCAATGGTCATCCTGTCCTTATAGAAGATGAGAATATGAACTTCACCTTTGAACTAGCTCTCCTTGAGGCAGTCACAGCTGGTAATAATGAAGCAGTAGAGTTTCTTCTTCAACTAGAAACTGTTAATATTGATCATACTAATGAAGAAGGCAAGACAGCACTAATGTTAGCTTGTGAAAGAGGACATGAGGACATTGTACACAGTTTACTGTCTGCTGGAGCTAATGTTAACATTCAGGACAATAAAGGATGGACTACACTAATGATGGCAAGTAAACATAATCACATTTCAATCATTCACATGTTACTACAAGCTAATGCTAATCCTCACCTGAAGACATCAAGTGGATCAAAAGTTGATCCTAATGTTCAAAACAAAGATGGTGTTACTGCTTTGATGCTTGCCAGTGCTAATGGACATTATGAAGTAGTTAAGTTATTATTGGAATGGGAAGCTGATCCAAATATTAATTCTAACAAAGGCAACACTGCATTATCTCTTTCAAAGACATCTGAAATATCTGCGTTGATAGATGGTTGTATGTATAAGAAAGGAAACATAAAATTAGAGGAAGATGATTCATCAGTGTCTCTACAAATAGCAGTACCCAGTTTGTATCACATAACATCAGATATTAGTAGAGGAAGTTCATTAGGATCTGAAAGAACAGTATCAAGTGGGTATCTTACAGCATCAAACATTAGTAGTCCAATAAGTTCATTTGAATCTCCAGAAACAGAATCCTTTAGGTGTCATACAACATCAAATATTAGTAGTAAAAGAAGTTCATCAACATCATCATATAGTAGTGCAATAAGCTCATCAACATCTGATTCTGAAAGAGCAGAATCCACTAGGCATCAGACAGCATCAGATACAAAAAGCACTTCAGAATCTGAAAGAGTGGAATCCAGTGGGTATGGTACAGCATCAAGCATTAGTAGTACAAGGAATTCACCTATACAACCTCAACTTTAGATTTGGCAAAAGGACTTAAAGATACAAAAGAAAGTTTGTTTGATATACATTTAGATTGAAGTACATGTAGATTGTTATTCGTTACTAAACATTACTTACATGTAAAGTGTGACAGTTGACAATATGTAATTTTGCTGCTAAAAATTAAATCGTCATTTTCATAGCATGATACCTTCACATGCGCCAGTCAAAGTGTCATTGGAGGTAAGGTACATCTATTGCAGTGTTCTTGCTAGCTTTATTTAGCAGGAGATCCCCCTGGGATTAGTTTTCCTTACCTGGCTGAGTCAAAATTTTTAAATTTCTCCTCCCACTTATACACTGTACCTTACAAAATAACTCTAGCAATATTAATAAAATTTATGTTTGTAGTAAAGTTGGCTAATGTATTTATATACATGTAAGTCTTTTGGTCAAGTTTAAAATCATAATTTTCAAAGTAGCACACAGCACATTTACTTTAAGGCATGGTCACATTAATTATTAAGTTCTTGCTCATCCCCCTTGGATCATATTTTCATAGCGCACTAGCAGTACTGATATTTGTATAATGGATTCATTAATGTACAGTGTACATTAATGGGTGAAGCCCCTACAGGTCAATTTGATTTGCATGTAGCATCCAGTGGATATCAGACAGGATCAAATAGTATGAGAAGTATTAGTTCCACATTATCTTTAGATTCAGTAAAAAAAGATTCCAAAGATAAGACATTGAAGCAGTAGATGTTCAGTACATTAATTTTAGTTTATAGCAATTAACAAAATACATGTGCATTTTTGGTGCACAAAATTTCAAAATGTCAATTCGCTAGCATTTCTTTGTCTGTCTGTCATTACTATAACATACATGTAACATACATTTTATTTTTCCAAATTTATTTCACAATGTTATTATTTTACTAAGCGTGCTGTTTAATTCTATTTTTAAATGGAACGTAGCCTGACCAATGAAATTCCCCCTCAAAAAAATACCTTCAAAATAAGACGCACAGTATAAAGAAGAGGATGTACATGTACATGTACACTTACTCGGCCAGTGAGTCCCTGTATCTCCAGTTCTTCTCATTCTCAGTGTCCAGGATCCCATTTAATATAGAGGGGAAGTTCTCCTTTCTAACATCAGAGGGTAGCATCTACATGTACACATACATGTATAATGATAAATAATATATTAATGATGGAAAATATTAATATAATACGTTTTAAAAGATATATATGTACATGTTATTAGTTTATTATTTTTAACAACCTGGGGGCGTAGCCCCCCAGGTTGTTCCTATAATTGATTTCACCATCGGCTATCTATATATATTTATTTATTTATTTATTTGTATGTCCACACTTACATTTCTTCTATACACGTTGTATTGGAGAAATAACAAGCCTTAGCAACCACCCGCCCACGCTCCTTTACGTGAGTGGGTGTGGTCACGGCAAACAAAATGGCGGCTTACACATGGGACAAAGTTAAGCATAGAGATACTGTCTAAAGACTTCTCTAGAAGCATTAGAAGGTAGAGAGAACCTCTATAAGTCTTAATAATGACCAAGTTGTACTTGCAAGGTGGTGAAATCAATTATAGGAATATTTTTTACCCTGTTACGCTTGTTAATTGGCACATACATGTAACATGTACATGCACGTGATATAGTACATCTTGTACATGTATGTGTACTCCCATCTCTCATTTATATAATTCAATTTGTCTATAAATGCAGTCAGTGTAATGTACATGTACACGTAAATGTACATATTAGTGTACATGTACATGTACCTCAAAGAACTCCGATAGATGAGCCAGTACTCCAGTCTTCACATCATCAAGGTCCTTTGTAGCATACTCATTCACTACAGACAACAGATCAGAGACTGTTCTATTGGACCCTAACATCTGAGCTATCTCATGGATACTGTGAGCTAGGACCCGCCTGATCTTCCACTGGAGGGAGGGAGAGGGAGAGAAATCATTAACAAGGAAAATGTAGGACATGTACTATATAGAAGAAAATTTTGGAGGTAGTTAAATTTGGCAAATTTGGCATTTCGATAGCCATTTGCCAAAATAAAAATCCGCCATTTTGAGCCATTATACACATGCTCAATGGCACATGGCTTTTTTTAGCTTCAAAATAGTAGAATTGAATTCACATTTAAGATTTTGTTGAATTTTTAAAGCACATTGTCTCTACAAATTTAACAAAGTCTTAAATGCAACTGCAATGCTTGAAAATCATAAAAATGGTCGCCATTTTGAAAAATCAACCTCAATCTTACATATAGGCTACCACCTATATAATATTCTACTGTTTTGGAACAAAAATAGTCTTCTTCAGTATATATCCATTATACATATACATTACATGTACATATAGTATATCAGAATCAATAATGTGCTACCTGCATGTCAGTGGAGAGTATATCAAAGGTTGGTTTAAGTAGTGACCAGTGGTTGGGTCCCAGGGTTTGTAGTACTGCAGGGAATGAGAAGGCACAGTAGAGGGGGAGGTCCACATCAACACTCTGGGTCTTGTTCAGGTCCACCATACCTAGGTACATCTCTATC